TTAAAATAGGCTAATTCAGTTTTCTACCATGCCATTAGTTAATGCATAGTCGCTCATGGTTACATTGCTGACCAGGAGCAAAGTTCTCCCAGTCAGTCAAGGAAGCAGAGGGTGGAAGAACTGTCCCCTCTCCAAGGCATCTGCCTACTTCCCAGCCCTTGGTCCGATCAACTGATTGAAGAGGGGGCTGAGACAATGTCCCCTGCCCCTGCAGCAGGCAGCTGCTGTCCCTGGTCCTGAGATCTCAGAGCCAGGGCTGGCAGCTGCCTGCTGCAGGGGCAGGGGACATTGTTCCAGCTCCAGCCCTCAGATTGGAGCCAGCCCAGCAGCAGGCAGCTGCCTAGGGCAGGGGGCTTTGTTCCAGTTCCGGCTCCAATCTTGGAGCCAGGGTCTGGCAGGTGCCTGCTTTGGTTGCAGGGGACATTGTCCCAGCCCCAGCTCTGAGATCAGAGCTGGCCCTGGGGGCAGGGGAAAATGTCTCGGCTCTGGCTCCAAACTTAGAGTGGGGGTTGGGTAGCAGGCAGCTGCCTGGGTCAGGGGTGCTGGGTGGGAGGCAGCTGCTTCAGAGGTGGGACAGCTCTCCCCCACCCACCCCTCTGGAGCCCAGGCCTGACCCTGGTGCCCCCTGCTAGCCCAGGCCTGACACCTGGGGAAGCCTAGAGCTCCCCCTGGCTGCCATATGGGAGCAGAGCAAGACAAGAGTAGCCCTGTCCCTGAACTGCTCCCCTTGGGAGCAAATTTGCTTCTGATGGACACATAGGTAGATGCACTCTCAGGGAAAATTTACTGTGTAGTATTTTACAGCTCAGTAAGCTTTCAGTGCCTTAATTGCACATGTAGGTGTGCCACCTGTATCACAAGTTACAAGGACTCCCCAGGCAAATGTGCCATATATACTGGTTGTTTTCCTTGCCTAACAGACCCTTTCCTGTGTTTTACTGTGTAGTGCTCTTCTGTATTAAAGGCTGTAGAGGGCCTAGAAATGCCTGGGTATTGTGGCAAAATTACTCCATGCAGTCATAAGCAACAAGCTCATAAAAGCCCCCTGGGTCTTGTTGTCTAGAGCAGGGTTGTCAAATATACATCCTGTGGGCCAGACCCAGCCTTCAGAACTGCTTTATCTTGTGGGTCTCCTGGCAGGCCTGGGAGTTTGAGGGTGCTGTGGGGGCATGGCCTACCAGGGCTACTGGGCCCTGTTGGACATGTCATTTGATTGCAGGGGGTGAGTGAGAAATGTATCAACACAGCTTCATTTACCCCAATGCCACCACAGCAGCTGCTTGCCCTACTACCACCAACCTCACCACGATCCAGTTCTGGACATTCACAAATTTATTGCTACTGGTAAGACCCCCCTCATCTGAGGACAGCATGGAGGTGAATGTAAATTAATTCTTATTTAGCAGTGAACATGTTATTTTCAACCCAGGGCTGTCATTGAAAAGTCTATCAAGAAGCAACACACACTGTCTGCAACCTATTTCACATGTGGGCCATCAGCTGTGCCACACATCTTCAAAGCGGAAGCTACAGGCTGGGATGTTCTGGTTAGGGTTAGGATGTACTAAAACGAGCATTGTGTTGGGGCGGACTCCAGTGAAGTTTAAATTTATGCTTCACATCTAAACCCTTCTATCTCCTTCTATTCAATGAATCTTCCGAGGTGCAGAGGCTCAGCCAGGCACAACTTGTCCCCCTCAGCTCCCTCAAGGTAGAATCTGATCCACTGAGGACCCTTGTAGACCTTCAGGTAAAGAGCATGATAGGATCTGATGTATAGACACAGTTGCATCTCCTGCCATGCCATACATGGGGCACTGCCATATCTGGGAGCCCCATCAGCTGATGGGGCTCTCAGCCACCTGGCCATATATTCAATTAATGGTGTGATAAGGAGCCAGAAAGTTTATAATAAAACATTTTTATGAAATACCTTTGTAGCTTATTGCTTGTTTTATCATGCCATTGATTGATTGAACATGTGGCTAGGTCACAGTTTAAGATGTGATTAACTGGTCAATTGTATCTTAAGTGTAACATGTAGATGGGGCCTCAGTTTCTTCCCACTGTCCTGTTAGCACTGACAGGAACTCAAAGGTGTTATTTCAGCTGTCAGCTGTGTATGCAAAATCTCTAATAGCACGTGGCATCGAGGTCAGAAATCTGAGTTCACGTGATAAGCCAAAGGGAAATTTCCATTCCGTGACATATGGTAAATTACATTCCCAGTTCAATACCTAGCAGGTCTGGCTGTGTTGATTTCCAGCCTTTTGATTTATTTCTTCAGATCATAGTTTTCCAAGCACTGGGTATGACCATCTTGGCATGAGGCTGGACTTTTGCCCAGAAGATAGTTTGGCCAGTGGTTTCCAAGCACAGGATTCGACTTCTAATGCTGCATGCAGCAGGGCATCTCCTGGAGTCAAAAGTTTGTCTGGAGGCTGCTGAGACATAAGCCTGTTTTTAACATGGGTCATGACAGGCTGGAAGCTCTTTGCAGATTGTAGGGTTAGAATATCTGACAGGAGCCGTTAAAAGCTTAGAACTGACCATCCCTAGATACAGACTTCAGACAGGTTATAAAGAAAAGCATCTCTGTTTGTACTCACTAACCATGGCATTGGAGCCTTGCATTTGAAACCAGGGGGGTGTCTCCTTCATGAGTGGGCCTGGTATGTCTCACATGAGGGCAGCAAAGCAATCTGTATGTGGAGCTGAGATGTAATGGGGCCTTAGGTTTTTGCCTCCACTGATTTAACATATTAAAATTGGAGGGCTAGAAGGGGCTTCAAGGGTCATCTGGTCCAGCCCCCTCCCCAGCACAGAGATGAGTTTCATTGTATTCCTTGGATTTATATGTGGGCACTGAAGTTAGGATTTTTGATGCCAGCTAACTTCTTATTGTTTTGAACTAGTAGGGTTGCAACCTGGGGCTTGGCAGTCCAGTTTGATGTGTGTGCAGGATTCCTGC